TGCATCATCCTGTAGGACTACCTCCCTGCAGTATTTTCTGAAAACCAGTAGAGGCAGATTCAGGGTCTGCTGTCAGACGTTTTGGTCTACAACAGAACTCAAGGAATGGTACGGTATGTGAGACACCATCGCGGAGGACCAGGTGATGGCTTATCAACAGGGAATGAGTCTTCTCGGAGACCAGCATCTGACTCTGATGCGCGATTACATCTGCGAGCCTTCCTTGAAAGTCTGCCTAAACGGAGTCTCACTATTGCCGAAAGAAAAGCTCCAAGCTACATTTAGAGGCAGTTTTCCATTGCAGGACCGATCTATTTCGTCTCTATGAAACAAAATGTAAAAAAAAGAAGATGGAGGCTCTTTCTCGTCCAATTTTTTACGATGAATTACAGAAAATTAATCTTTCTCTTTTGAAACCGCACAAAGATCAGTATGATTTCTGATGAAGGCAAAGTCGATGAAAACAGATCTGTCTCATGGGCAAAAGAAAGAAAGGGCACAGCAAGAGATGGCAGCAGAAGAGGAAATGGTCCAAAATAAGGACACGACAAAAGTCATTACTGTGGATCTACAGTCAGTTTTGCTTTGCCCCATGCTGAAATCATCGGCAATATACTATAGGACCAGACTCTGTGTCCATAACTTCACAATATTTGATTTATAGTCACATGGTGTCCAATGCTATGTCTGGCACGAGGCGGAAGGGGGCTTGTCTGCTCACGAATTTGCTTCATGCATTGTGGATTACCTGGAAAGTGATCTGTCTTTTGATAGGTACATCATCTATTCCGATGGATGTACTTTCCAGAACAGAAACAAAACATCAGCCACTGCTTTTTCCGGGTTCTCCGTGATGCATGACAAGGAAGTAGAGCAGAAAATACTTGAGAGGGGCCACACGATGATGGAGATGGATAACGTCCACCGCATTATCGAAAGACGAATCAAGAATAAGATGTTCCTTCCTATCGACTATGTTCGATTAATTGAAGAAGCCCGAAGAAAGCCATTTCCGCACTCTGTGGAGTATTTGACTCACACATTCTTCTCAAATTCTGATGGCGTGAACACCCTTAGTTGCATCCGTCCATGAAAGAAAGCTGGGGATGCTACAGTTACTGACATCGGGGCTCTGAAATACCTGCTTGATAGAAAAATACTCTATAACCTTGGATTCGGGGACGAATGGTCAGGGTTTCTAGAGAAAAGAAATCAGTCTACAGCACTGATTGCCACTCCCAAGAAGCTGTTTTATGCCAGCAGGAGCATCTCAAATGTCAAATTCAAACATTTGCAAGCACTAAAATCAGTAATATCATCGGAATGTTGGGCATTTTATGACAAGTTGAAACAAGACTGAATCGGGAATGTCCTCAACAACACACTTTATCAAAGCAATCAATTTTGTATACAATTATTATATACATTTTCTTCTTGTTATCTGGAGGGTGCTTGCGCAGCCCATAAGGCTGATACGGCGGGACGCTATCTCTCCCTGTCTAAGGCCAATCTCTTGACCTGTCCCCATGACCATCCCTTGGACTTTATCTCCTGTTCAATGCTCCTTCGCCGGGTTTCCGGCGGGCGGCCCCCTTTTTTTTTTTGTTCCTCTGGCTATCCTGGTAGTGACATTTGGGTCCATTCTAAGGACATGTCCAATCCAGCACCACCTTTTCCTTCTCACCGCTACGAATACTGGTTAGATAATTGTTTTTTCAGGCAGTTCTTTATTTTATATAGTTCTGGATCATTAACTTGAATAAGTCTTCTTAGGGATTTTTTCTTTCGGGGGAGGCTGAATGATACAATATGGAATCATTTTAAATTTCTTCTCGGTGATATTGAATTGATGTGTTTTTGATTATGTAAAATGTTCTGTTATATTATATCATGTGTTACAGTAACAGCATTACTTTAATACAGTTGAAAATGTTCTTGAAAGAATGAACTGGCTCCTTTTCGTAATTTGTTGGGTGATTGGAAGGCTGCTCCTTTGCTACTTCTCACACAAGCTACACTTTGTCATTCTAAGGGTTTTCTTCTGTTGTCTTTCGTCATAATCCTCTTACTTATAATAGACCTACAGTCGATTGGTGTTGTAAGTGTGAAAGGACTGGGAAATAAGAATAATATCAACCAGAAGTATAATTAATATACCAATTAATTCGACCAATCAATATTACTTGCAAAGTTAAATGCACCTAGAATCTATGAAACCAATCTGCCTTATTTCTTCAAAGTCCTTTGCATAGTTTTTCTAATAAATAAACTGAAAGATTCGTGTTGTAAACAAGTAAATCAATGATTCACAAGCCACATGTTAAAATTATGAAAGCTCTAAACGCATATGGCTAACCACGGCCACCTGCCGCAAACTTACGCGAGTAGAGCTTACAAACTTTCTGCTCAATTTATTACGCAAGTCAACGGGTTAGATTTACGCGTTTAAATGTTTCAAATTTAGAGTCTCTAAATACGTAAGTCTGTTTTATGATTAATTTTCAAAAACAAACGAATTTTCACATTGACAGTTGCAGTACATTTGCATTCTGTTTTTTGTCTCTCCTGTAAAATTTGCCTCAACGGACTTACGCGTTTAGAAACTTACAGGGACGATAAATTAAATAATAAACATAAAAACATAAGTAAATTGACGGGTTTTATTTTTCTAAGTTTTAGTAAGAGTTTTACTGTACTTGCAACACAATTTGCTGAGATTTAGGAATGAGTTTCTGCGATGCGACAACACATCGGCGAGCCTTTATTGTCTCTTAGAGCGTATTATTTATAGGATAAGTAATAATATTTGAATGTTGATAAATATTAATTTGGATTTACTTGAAACTGAATAAGAACTATTTATTATCAGCAGCCAATCTCTTGTCAACTATTGCTGACTTAAAGTGACCTGCCCCGCCGGTCTTGCCCAGTTAACGAACTGCCCCTTGCATATGAGTGCTAAAGATTAGAAGTGTTACTAGTAGAAAGTAACATAATAGGACAAGAAGGAGAAAATATTATATATAGTGAGGGCAATAGATCGCGATGATTGCAGCAAAAAATTAACTATGATTGTGAGCGACTAACTCTTTGAGGTCGAAATGGACTCATGATGTATACGACCGATTAGGAGCAGAGCAAAATAAAGCAACGTTTCGGCACATTCTGAACCATCATACACACATCAGAAAAATAAGTTTATATTTTGCATAGTATGCACAATGTTTCAAGCCGTTTACAGTTTCAGACAAAGAAAACAAAATAAAACAAAATGTTTGAATAGTGAAACTGTGCCCAAAAACAGAACACCTTCTTGTACTGTCGCAAGACCAGAATGCGTGTTCTAAATGAGTTAAGAATTAACACTTTTTTAAAAACAACAAAAACCAAAAACAACCCCACACACATGGGAACCAAACTCACACATCAGCTTCTACCGGCGACAGTGGAGTCGGAGTACCTCGCCGCTACATCACCACAGATGTCGCCTGTGAAGGCTAATAATTATGTGTGTAGTCGTCTGGATTCGGCCTTGAATACTAACGAACTCTGCAAGCAAGAGATGGCAACTGACCAATCCCCTTGCCGTACATCGTAGGTGCTTTATGTGTAACATCTTTCATTGCAAGCTATCCATTTTTTGAAACACCAGACGGCACGCTTTATGTTTATGTAACTGACGCACCCCATCGTCAAAGCAGCCAGGGCCCACATATGTATAACATCGACCACGTTCCGCAGCACTGCGTTAACTTATTTACACAAAGCGCTACATTAGAATTACAAGGTTTTGTCGGACATTTTTCGCTGTTTTGAGTTACTAAGACCAAAACCATGAGGTCAAAAAAACAAATGTCCTATCTGCTCTATCAAAATCGCAAGAATAATCGCAGTAGTTATTAAGATATTCCAAAAATTGCATTCGGAAAAGCTTGACATGTTGTGAAACTCAAAATGTCTAAAGTCAAATTTCCCAAAACTACATAATGAGCAGATTTAACTTTGTAATCGTAGGGTAGTGAAGAGCACAGAATAGATAATATTGTCAAATGGCTGCCAATCTGTTGTGAGGAAAGACGTCAGGTTACAAAGGGACAAAGGGCTTTCTTAAGTTTGCTGTTCCCAGGGTTCTGTTTTAGGCCCAATCCTTTTCACAATGTATAATACACACAACCAATTGCTGTTGAAATACAAACGTATCAACTCAGCTACCACCACGGCAGACAGATATATGGCTCTTTTCATCCATGAATTCATAGAAAGAGTAAAGAAATGGACAAATTAATGCTAAATGAAGAAAAAACACGAACTATTCTATTTCGGGAGTTCAAAAAATATTCATGATGTTAATTATAAAAGACAGAGATGAAAATACTAGTATTTATAATATAATATGGTATTATTACGATGCTACACCACTACAGAGAAAACTGTTCGGTATTCATTACGTAGCGGCCTCGGGGATCTAAAGTGGACTGCAAAGTTTTAGTTAGTTTCGTTTTAGTAGAGGTTTTACGGCGCTCGCAACCGCAACTGCATAATGTCATAAGAGCACCAGAAGATTAGAGGCGTTACAAGAGAGTACAAAGCATAAGAAAGAAGAAGGGGAGAAAAGGACGATAGATGTTTGATAGGAAAGAAGAAGCAAACCACAGCAGAGCACCCGTCAACCACCCACTGCAAAGTTCAGGCGTACCGTTGAGTTGACTGTCAGACTGCCACAGGAAGAACTATCAAGGAACAAATAAGAAGGACCCGACAAGGAGGATAAACGCTGTCGCTACACAGTTAGATGTATGTTATACATGTACTGGTTGAGTGAACAACCATTCCAATAGGTTTCGCCACCCCCTCCCCTCCCCCCCCCCCCCACCCAATTTTTCATTTATTTCTCTCTTTACTTCTCTCTCTCCCTCGCTCGCTTCCTCCCTCCCTCCCTCCCTCCCTCCCTCTCTCTCTCCCTCCCTCTCTCTCTCTCTCTCTCTCTCTCTCTCTCTCTCTCTCTCTCTCTCTCTCTCTCTCTCTCTCTCTCCCTCTCTCTCTCTCTCTCTCTCTCTCTCTATCTATCTATCTATCTATCTATCTCTTGTGTGTGTGTGTGTGTGTGTGTGTGTGTGTGTGTGTGTGTGTGTGTGTGTGTGTGTGTGTGTGTGTGTGTGTGTGTCCGTGTCTGTGTCTCTGTGTACGTATTAGCGGGAAAGACCCATGGTTTCCTATAAATATTCATTAAAAAAACACAGCAAAGCTGTCAGCCAGAGCTGAACTTATCCCAAAAAATATATCAGCATTAACAAGCTGCCTCTGAATTTGGTCGCTTTTAAGGACAAGAGGGCTAACCCAGATTTCGGGGATTTCCAGAAATCTTGACCTACACCAAAAGTGGGCATTGCACTACCTATAGGAGAAGTTTGGATTCATAGGTGTGTATATTGGTTTAGTAATAAAGAAAACTCTTCCTGCTTTTTAAAGAAACTGAACAAGTAGCAAAAACTTTTTCTTCGATTTTCTCAAAACAGCATTTTTTTAAAATGTTTATTTTTTTTATTTTTTTTGGGGGGGTAGACCCCTTGTGTTTAAAAGCGACCATTTACATGTGGAAGAAAGTGCGTATTCCTGGGTCATGCAACAGGGCATGGCTTTGTCACCCAGAGCTATTGTTACGGTGCATTCGTATTGTTTTTCATCGTTGTTTTGTGGGGGTTTTTGTTTTTTTTAACGATCACATTCAGTCGTGTCCTTTTTAAAAAATACATGTAAATTAAACAACAAGTATTGTTGATCATTTGGGAGACTGACTTCGACCCTGCATGTCAGGGCCAACGCC